TCTTGAACTTGGAGTGATTCCCCAAAGTGCTGAGATTACAGACATGAACCATGCAGGCTGCCTGCAGATTCTGGAGAGAGTAGTAATTGCTGAAGAAGCTCTTAAATGTACAGTTTGAAATATTAAGCAGACACTTAAGAAGCTCTAACTCTGAACTAATTAAAGTCTTTTCCATAAATTATACTTCATCTAAATGCTTTTCTTTCCTGTTGGTGTGAGACCAAAAGGGAAGCAGGACATCTTAATGTCATCTCAGTCTTTGTTGGTTTCTTATTTCTTTAAAGAGCTGTTCCGTGGTTTGGTTTTCAGTATTATTAAAAAGTAGGAAAAGAAAGATGGGCAGGAAAAGAAAGGAAAGCAACTAAAAGAAGTTAGCTTTCTTTTTTTATGTAAACACCAGACTACTGTATAAGTTGTATAGAAATCCTGTTCTTTTGTCTGCTTTCTCTGTCCATGAACTCATGGTATACATTAATCAGGTTTGCACAAGAACTCAACACTATAGATAAGACATGTGCTGGTTACTTGTTTGTATTTTGTTGTCAATTTGACATAAGCTAGAGTCATCCAGGAAGAGGGAATCTCAATCGAGAAAATGCCTTCATCAGGCTGGCATGTAGGTAAGTCTGTTGAAGTGTTTACTTGATTAATGATTGTTATGGGAGAGACAGGTGGTTCTTTGTGCTATAAGAAAGTAAGTTGAGGGAGCCATTAAGAGCAAGATAGTAAGCAGCACCCCTCCATGGTGTCTGTTTCAGCTCTTGCTTCTATGTTCCTGCCCTGATTGAGTTTCTGTTTTGGTTCTCTCAGTAAAAGGCTTACATGAACTTGCAAGCCAAATAAACCATTTTTTCACAAAGTTGCTTTGAGTCATTGTCTTAGATACTGCTCTGTTGCTGTGATAAAACAACATAACCAGAAAACATTGTATTTGGGGCTTGCTTGTAGCTTCATAGGGTTTGTCCATGACCATCATGGTGGGAATCTTGGTGGCAGACCTGGCATGCATGCATGCATGATGCTGCAGCAGTAGCTGAGGGCTTACATCTTGATCCATAGGCAGCCGGCAAAGAGAGTGAAACTAGGTTTGCTGTGGGCTTTTGAAACTTCAAAGCTAATCTCTAGTGGCACTCCTTCTCCAACAAGGCCACACTTCCGAATTCTTCCCCAAACAATTTCGCTAACTAGGGACCAAAAATTCAGACGTATGAGCCTGTGCAGGCCATTTGCATTAAAACCACCAAAGTCCATGGTGTTTATCATGGTAATACAAAGCAAACTAGGACAATAGGATTGTACTATGTCTCCCAACTGCAGCTGTGCACATTCAAAATACCACTGAAAAGATGATTCCTTTGGTGCCCACTTTGGCTGTTGAATGTGGCACATCAGTCGCCACTCAGTCCTGAAACCTGTGGCTGCTCGCCTTCATCATGATCTCAATGACCGACTGACAGCCAACTTGCTTGCTGTCACTCGAATCAACAACATGTGTCTTCACTTTTCAATAGCATCACTGCAATATCTTCCAACAAGGTTTGCTTTCCGGCCTACTTTGCTTTTCTCTCATTCTATTTTAGCAACACTAAGGGTGGATTAAGGCTTCATGCAAACTAAACAAGCACTCTATCACTGAGCTGCAACTCCAGTCCTGCCTCATTCTCTCCCACACAGAATTTCTAGAATCATCTTCCTTTATATTTCATACTTTTCTTTTTAAATTTTTAAAAGTGACTTAACTATGTATATGTGTGTGGTGGTTTGAATAGATATGACCCCCACGGGTGTGTTTGAATGCTTGGCCCATAGGGAGTGGCACTACTGAGAGGTGTGGCTTTGTTGGAGTAAGTGTGTCACTGTGGGGTAGGCTTTGAGGTCTCAGATATGCTCATGCCAGTGTGACAGTTCACTTTCTGTTGCCTGTGGATCAAGATATAGAACTCTCAGCTCTTTCTCCAGCACCATGTCTTCCTGTCACGCTTCTTGACATGACAATAATGGATTAACCTCTGAAACTATAAGCCTGCTCCAATTAAATGTTTTCTTTTATAAAATTTGTTGTGGTCATGGTGTCTCTTCACAGCAATAGAAACCCTAACTAAGACAATATGTGTATAGTCATCTTTGGAGACTTAAAGATGTCAGATATATAGGAGGTTTAGTTACAGGTAGTTGTGAACCTCCCAATGAATGAGTTGGGAAATGAATTAGGGTTTTCTGTAAGAGTAGTATGCACCGTTAACTGCTGAGCCATCTCTCTAGCCCACTTTATATAACTTCTTTGTATATAACTCTCCTAAATAGCCAAGGAAGCTTATACAAGAGGTTATTTAGGGCTTATGGTTCCAGATTGCTAGAGTATATGATGGCAGAGTAGAGGTAGCATATGACAAGCATCAGGAGCAGGAACTTAGAGCTCATATCTTAAACCATAGACAGGAAGCAGAGCATGCATTAGGGATTGTAGGAAGCTTTTGAAACCTCAAGCACACCTTCAGTTACAAACATTTTGCAACAAGGCCACACTTCCTTATCCTTCCCAAACAGTTCCGCCAACTGGGGACCAAGTATTTAAATGCCAAGATGACTAGAGGACATCTCATTTAAACCATCGCAATGGGTCCTAAATTCCAGTTATATAGAATGAATATTATCTGCATATGGACAAAAAGGTTCAGACTCGTAAGTTCAGCCATGCCATTCCTCCCTCCCTTCTCAAAAAGAATTAAATTCCATGAAAATACAGGCCATATTGATCTGATTTTATTCTTTGTTATAGTCTTAGAGCTTAGCCTTGTACATGACATTTAATATATATTAACTAAATATATAAAATCATCATATGTCTATCTAATTACCTTTTAAATTTTAATTTTAAACACTATTCCTTTAAAATGTTTACACTTATGCTTGTTTTTGACTTTACTCTTCTAATACTTAAAAAGTGATTTGATTTTTTTTTTTTAGTATTTCCACAGGTCTTGTCTATGCCATGGTTAGGACACTGATCAGTCAGTATCTTTCTACTTTGAATTTCAATTTTTTTCTTTTCTTTTCTCTTTTTTTGAGACTTATTTATTTTATGTGTGTTCCCTCAGAGGCCAGAAGTGTGTGCCATAATCTATAGAACTTGAGTTAAATACACTTGTGAGAAACCATGTAGGTGCTGAGAACCTTCCTTTGAAAAGCAGTAAGTGCTCTGAACTGCTGAGCTATTGCTTCTGTCATTCCAATTATGTTTATGTGTCTCTCCCCCAGATCGAGATCTTGAAGACATTAGGTATATTCAATTCATAACTCTGTCCTCAAAAGGTGGCTTTTTTGAGTAGGTACACACTGACTAGAACAGTCCCACCAGGGTTAGAGGCTGAGGAAGCATAAGCAAAATGCAAACTTTGATGGGTTAAGTAACTTATTTAATCTTATCTAATGTAATCTTATCTAATAAGTTAATAGCTTGTATGCTATGCACATAAACATTAAAAAGTCAAATTATTGGCTGAACCTCAATTTACCAAGGTATAGGTGAAAATATTCTCTGTACCTCTACTAGCCAAAATATAAGGTCATCATGACTAAAGACTAAACTCCGGCTAATCTTCAAGAAGTGGGCACAAAGTCATGATTTGTATAATTCATGTATTTGAAAATAGTTTTTTTTTCTGCAGAGGATACTAACTATAATTATATTTTACTTGTGGCTATTGGGATCCTAAACATCTAAATCAATTCTTTGTGTAAATGGGATCTTTGGCTATAGCATTCTTTTGCTATAAATCAAAAGTGTATAGCACATTACATGTATGGTATATTCATCAACTTCCAGCTTTCCATTTGTTTTTCAACCCTTGGCCTTAAGCTCAAATTCCCCTGTTGTGAATATTCTGTTTGTTTGGACTCCTTATTTGGGTCTTAGGGAGAAAGATAATATATTTGATTGCTGGAGCAAACTATGACAAAGGAAACAATGGATAAGTCGGGTCTGGGATCCTATCATTTAATTTATAGATCTGCTTATTGCATTGTCCAGTACTTTATCTTGAACACAGACCACTCACAAAGAGGAATTCTTTTTTTTTAAGTTCTCCTGAGAATAAAAACCTGCCATTCTTCATTACTTGTGCTGGACATTTACTCCTCTGAGCATCTGAAGCCCTTTTGCTTTAGTACTATACAGAACACACAAATATCTCTGGAAAAACAACTTTGTGTGGAGCATGTGAATTGCCGTTCTGACTTTTTAGTTGTATAAACATTTCTCTACTCTTCTGATTAGCAGAGTATGTGGATGCAAAGAAGAATCTTAAGTATGCAAGTCTTTGAAGACAGTTCATGATGTCTACTTGACCTGGCCCTTCCAAAACCACTCTTTTAATTTTAATTTTTATTTTTTTCAGTTCTTGAAAGAAAAATTTCCGCCTCCTCCCCATTTCCCATTTCCCTCCCCATCTTCTCACACATTGCCCCCTCCCCGCACTTCCTTACCACTCTCCCCCCCACNAGAATGAAGAGCAGTCCAGATTCCCTGCCCTGCGGGAAGTCCAAGGTCCTCCCACTTCTATTCTATCTCTTAAGATCCAAATGAGGAGCAGAAGGAGACAGAACATGAGCATGGAAGTCAGGACCACGAGGGGTGTACCCACCCACTGTGACAGTGGAACTGATCTATTAGGAGCTCATCAAGGCCAGTGGGACTGGGACTGAATAAGCATGGGATGAAACCGAACTTTCTGAACATGGTAGACAATGAAGGCTGATGAGAAGCCAAGGACAATGGCACTTGGTTTCGATATTAATACATGAACTGGATTTGTGGTAGCCTAGCCTGTTTGGATGATCACTCTTCTGGACCTGGATAGAAGTGGGAGGACCAAAAACACTCTTGAAAGCTCTGTTTAGCGAAAGCTTTCCCTAGAATGTCCTCACATCCCCTTGACACTTCACCATCTATACCTTTTCAATCATATTGAGTCTGAATCATAGACAGTACAACATTTAATGCAAATCTAAGCTTTATTGAATTAGTAGGCATTACATAGAGATTGCAAGTCGTTATTGGTCCAGCACAGATACAGGTGTTTGTTCCAAGGATAAATGAGAGCACAAATTGACAGTTTTACTGCTGCTTGAACTATTTCTTTAAGGTGGCTTGCTATGGACACAATCTCCCTCAATACCCATTCAACACAGTCTTGGCTTTCACCTCTCCCTTCAGCAGAGGGATTCACAATATCTAAAGGAAGCTTTTAAACTCTTCTGTATCAGAGGTAGTTTTGTGCCTGCATTATGCATCAGAGAAGACATCTGAACAAAGACTCCATAAAAGGGGCAGAAGAGATACACTAGAGCAGAGTTGAGATCCATGATTTTTTTTCAACTAATTGGCTACAGTGGCAAAAGTATCAACCAAAATTTAGAATAGCTTTTTGTCTATTTAATAACAAAGCATGCAGTAGCCTGTGCAGAGAGTAGCTTTTTAATAACAACCTTAAATCTGTCTTGAGCACCAAGGATGCATTTTCAAAAGTATAAAGTATATTTATATGCAGTGACTACTGTAGTGGTTGAATTATGCCCCCCCTCCACAAAAAGACATGTTTATTCATGTGCTAATCACCAGAATTTGAGATATTACCATATTTTGGTTAAGCAGGTATTGGGAGGTGTAACTAAATTTAGGCTCTGAAAATGAGGATGTAATCATAGACAATCTTGACGGGTCAACAAAACTATCCTTACAAGAGAGAAGGAGAGGTAGATTATACAGAGGGGATGGTGTTGAAAAGGCAGATGAAGCCACAACCCAAGGACTAATGAAAATCACACGAAAAGAGGCAAAGAATGGATTTTCTACCTGAGCCCGCAGAGGAGTGCTGTCCTGTCAATATCTTGGCTTTGTATTTGTGACCTTAAAAACATCATAGAACCAGACATCTACTCGTGTTTCCCACTGTGTTGTGGGAATCTGTTACAGCAACCATAGGACCCTAACAGAAATTTTAGTATGAGGAGGGGTATTGCTATGACAAATATCTACAGATGGGAAAGGGGCTTTGGAATGGGCTACTGGGTGGTAGGTGGAACAATTTTAGATGACGAACTTAATAGAGAAACTATAGATTGCCTGAGCCAAACCACTGTTGGGAATGTCGATGTTAAAGGCATTTCTGGTGAGGGCACAAAAGGAAATGAATATTGTACTGGGACCTGGAAGAAAGGCAATTGTTATATAGCAGCAAAAAAAGAAAATAAACTAAACAACAACTTATCTGAATTGTCTCCTGTAGTTTTGTGGAAAGCCAGACTTGATCCTGTAAGTGATAAAGTCGGGTATTTAACTGAGGAGCTTGGCAAGCCAAGTGTTGGAGGCATGAGCTAATTCATTCTTGCTGGAGGTGGGCCAGCAGACTTAAGGGAGTGGGGAGGAGAAAGGAGGATGATAAATGAGATATGAAGGTGAAATGGGAGTTACTTACTGATGGGACCGTAACAGGGGTTAGTGGTGGAAGTGAGGGCAGGAGGATGGAAGGTAGGGAGAATAATCAAAAGAAAAACAAAACGGTAATGAAAATGTCACAGTGAAACTCATTACTTTTTTACTAATTTAAAAAAGTTAAATAGGAGGAAATGAAAATGTTAAGGAAAGAAAAAGAGGAGGTAAATTGAAGAAAGAACCATTATGTCAATAAGGAAACAGCATTTAATTTGGTAAATTTTGTTAATCTTAAAGATGGTAAAATTCTGCGTAAAGATGTGCTTTGGAGTTAAGGTGAAGGATGTAGCCTACCAGTTTTTAAAGAATAGCAAGCACTGAATAGAAGGCACACATTCCTGGATTCATTCAACTATCTCAAAGACAACCACACATAGAGCTGAAACTATTTATGAAAAAAACTGTGAGGATGCCAGGCAGTGGTGGTACACACCTTTTCCCCAGAACATGGGAGGCAGTGGCAGGTGGATATGTGTGAGTTCGAGGCCAGCTTGGTCTACAAGAGCTAGTTCTAGGTCGTGCTCCAGAGCTACAGAGAAACCCTGTATCGAAAAACCAAAAACCAAAAAAAAAAAAAAAACTGTGAGGTTGGATTGACAAGACATACTTGGAACTCAAATGTGATTTTTGAGAATGCAATAATTATCAGAATACTTTTGGCTTGGTTTGAAACAAACAGATAGGAGGAAATGAGAGAAGGCTGCCAGATAGATCACTACGGTCAGAAAACAAGCTAATAAAATTACTCATCTGCAAAATGTAATAACTTTCAGATTAGTAAAAGAAGCACCTTAAAGGCAAAAACAACTGTGGGTACAAAGGCAGAGACCTGAGGCCTGGAGCAGAGAAAAGAGCTACAGTTCCAAAGGGTGATATCTGAGACAGAAAGCCATTGCCATGCCTTGACACCTATGGGCAACTTGTTTGGCTGGATGTTTGGAAAACTGTTGGGGCAGATGACTCCTTTCTACTTTCTGTTCTTTCCCTTTTGGAGCAGGAGTTCCTTTGTTATTAGTCCACGCCTGCCCTAGTGCTATTTTAGGAGAGAATAATTCATTTTTATTTGTTCTCTCACTGAGTACCAGGTAGAGAAAGGCTATTGTTCCAGGAATCGGAATATCTAAATATCATTCATACTTCATTGGATGATCTAGATTATTGGATTTGGAACTAATGGCATTTGGATGAAATTTTGGAGTTAGAAGTTACTTTTGAGCCTGGAGAACATTGAGAAGAGGTGAATGCATTTTACATATGGGACAAACATACATTCTGGGGGTCAGTTGGCAGACAGGTGGGGAGAAGAGTCATGCAGATATCATGAAGTTCAGGATCAGTGGTGATATCATCCTGTTTTAACATGGTGGTCTCTAAATGCCACCATAGCATCCTTACAAGAGAGGCAGAGAGAGATCAGGTACACAGAGAGGAAGGTAATGTGAAGTGGAACAGAAAAATGTGGCTATCCAAAGATGAACAAGGCAAAGAAGGGACCTCTGCTGTAGCCTCTGGAGGGAGCATGAATGGTCTGATGCCCAGATGTCAAGCCTCTAGACTTCAGGACCATGGGAGAATACATTGCTCTGTTATTAAACTATCAGATTTACTGTCAAGCATTACAGTAGCCAAAGGAAAATATACTCATCAGTTAACTTGTTAGGTAACATTCCAGAGAAAAAGTTGTAGAAATGGCATTTCTCATCTGTGGCAGAAATAATCAAAAATAAAAATTTCAGCCTAATTTGGTTTTATTTTAAAAATTGCACTACATATTTCTTTGTGGATGATACTCTTCAACCTAAAATAAAAAGTGCAAGTGGCTGGAGCAAGACTACTGTAAGTCCTATAAGTTAATTGTGTCCCCTGAAAGGTTTTCTAATGTTTGTGAAAAGCATGTGGAATGCATTTAAATACAAATATATAATTTATCAATAACAGTACTTCATTCATTCCTGTTTACAAACTAGAAAATAAGGCAAGTTCACATCTGGAAAAGGTGATACGCATCAGTATGTTAACCTTGACCAGTTAGGTAATATGGCAGGGCAAATGCCCCAAATTTCAGTCAACGTTTACATTTCAAGATCAATTTTCTACAGCCTGAAAAGCTATAAAAAATAAAACACAAAACCTCAAATAAGCCATACCACAATATTTCAGAAAATACTTTGCAAAGTCAAAAATGCATACAGTAGTTATTTACATCAATTAGTAGAACTTCAATTTTGTAGTTATTGTTTTAAAAAGTATGTGAAAGTGGTATGTTTTTAAGTGTGTGTGTGTGTGTGTGATTTTTCACTTAAGAAAAAAATGAAAAAAAAACTCAGACATTGTCACCTTCTGATTTCTCTATTATAGCAGCTTCAGAGTATTTTGAATTATTATACCCAAGTAAGAATGCTCTAGGATGAAAGGCAACAGTTTAAATTAATATACATCAGTATAAAGATGTTGTGAGCTACTGGTAACTTGTTTACATTATCTCAGAAGGTGGCTTGCTAAGCCAGTCATTTGTTCTTTTCTCTGAATGTCTATAATGTGCTTTGGAGAAATCAAATTTTCTACATAAGAAATATACATACAAGCAATCTTTTACAGCAATCACAATCATCTGCATGAATTAGTCTTGAAATTACACTCCTGAGAAGTTACATCAATTATTACAAATGCACATTGTAAGCAAATAGATAAGTTAAGTATAACTTCTGCTCTCTCACATGTTTAAAACAATGCCAAGCTTCTTTATCTGCTAGTGTTGTTTTGGCAGCATCACTGAAATGTGTTAATAATATAAGGTAAGTAAGTATGATGATGACAGAGAGGTTTACCTTGTTACAAGGATATGGAATTACTGCAGTAAGAGATATAAGCACGCACACATGCATGCACACGTGCGTACATACATGCACATGCATGCACGCACACACATGTGCACCCACACCCACACACATGCACAGACACTTGCTTTGACTTCAACTACCAAAGTAGAACAGGTAAAGGGGTGGAAAGGGAGATAAAACAATTGACCTTTACAAAGTTTTCTACTGCCTCCTGCATAATGAAATCCCTTTCCTCCCTCTGGACTCTTCTGCAGTTCTATTCCCCAACTCTCAGGGATGAAGTGAGAAAGAAGCACTAGAGTGAAGAACCAGGAATCAATATTTTCCTCTCAAATCTAAATAAAGGCAATAGAATTTTCAGGCTCATCCCTAGCATATGCATGAAGTGTAGAGGTTTTCTCAAAAATAGCTTTCCGAAGAATTTCTATAAGGCAGATATCTATGCAGAATTAGAAAACACTTCTTAAATAAAGTTGAAACCTAGCTTATTTTGTATTTTTAGTAATGATAAGTGCCTGTGATATCATGCTGAAACACTAGACTAATGGTAAGATTAATTTCTGCCAAATAGATAAATCCATCAACTTTCACTTGAAATGGGTTCTAAATACCTTGACTGGGGCTTCTTTTTCAGAGTGTGCTATTCGCGCCCATTCTCTCAGACTTTACACTATATACATACATACGAAGAGCTAGAAGCAGACACTGAAAAATCTTCCCATCTATTCCCCTTTCCTCCTCTTTTATTTTTTTGGACAGTGGGGTAGGGTGGGTAGGTGTGACCTAGAAATTTCAGTTTTACATTCTTTGACAGAATCTAATGGAATGTTTGTAGGAGCCTTAGGATTCTTCTATTTTCTTTTTATACTTTTGCCTCCACAGTCAGGTAATGTCTCCAAATGTCAAGTAATGTGGGTCTTTACACTACAGAGGAACAACTGGTTTCTAATCAGGATAGCTGGGTTTGGATTAGTGGACTTGCAGTACTCCTACAAATACATATTACTTCACCCAGCTCAGCTTGACCTTTGTGGAAATGCATTTATTTCCACTCAAACCCTTGAGTGTATATTTTGTTCTTCTCAAGATGAATGATTTTGTTTTCTTAAATGTCTCCATTCTTTCTGGCATCAGGAATCACTTGGATGACATGGCTCCATTGTGGCGAGAGCGTGATCTTTCCAGAGGGGCCCGTCTGTTTTCTGTAGGACAAAGAAAAGAAGAAGGGAACACACGGTGAGCTTTAGATTCTGACTATTCCACAGTGTCAGGTTGAGAGAGGTTTTCAAACAGTCTTGAAAAATCACTTCAAATGAATATGGAAATAAGCTGCAAAGAGCCCGGATCTGAGGCATTTGCACTGCAGCTGCCAGGCTGAGTTCAAGAGTTCTGCAATCAGCAAGAAATGATTTTTCTTGGTAAGCAGAGGCAGAGTGATAAAAGCAATGGAAGAATTCTCTCAAGCACAGACCTCTTGGAAATAAGCAGGTGACAACAAAATTCCCTGGTAAAGATGTTAAATTGAAAAGATCTATGTACAGTGCCTTTTGTTAAAAACCTCTTCAGTTCCCTATGAGTTTTCAATTTGTATGTTGGCTACCTCTAAAGGACATCAGTGTATGCAGAGTGGGGGGGGGCGATTTTCTTTTAAAACAATGATTGTAATATATGGTAATCAAAGTAGCTACTAAGTTTGCCTGATTGTATGATGTAAAGAAATTCAATACATTATCTAGTCATTATGGAAATGAATAATGAATGGAACCTATTCTTGGTCCCATTCCCCTACCCATCACAGGAAGAATAATCACTGTAGAGATGACTGTTGGCACAAAACTTGGAAAGCAAAGTTTAAAAGCACTGAAAGTTGCTGAAAATAGTTTTAGCTTTAATAGGGAAAAGGCTTACAGCTCTGCATTGTGATGATCACTACTACATTATTATCACCTCTGTTTTATGCTCAGCTTAAATGCAATTGATGTGGGTGAAAATCTCTTCCTGGCAAAAGCATAATATACTTAGATTTTCTATTTAGAATGAGACTCAGTCCCTAGAAATAATGACAACCACCAGCACTTACATAAATGCTAACACTTTACACTAGTTAATTTGCTAATTCACACAACATCCCCGGGAGGTAAGCCCATTTCATTCCATCCTATTATCTCTGCTTTAGTGATGAAGGTTACACAGCAAATCAATGGTATGATAGGAGATTATAATGCAAAGTTAATGTCTAAATGTCAGGCCTGCTTTGTTCAGAAGTAGACGTTGGATGCTCCCAAGCTGCTCTTCATTTCCTCACTAAGATGACGATGGCCCACTAGCATATCCTGTCTCTCCATGAGGAGGCTGGCCCGAGAAGTGCTGAAGTTTTGTCATGATGCCTTTCTGGGTTGTACTATCATCTCTTGACTATTTCCCGGTAGTCTGTGGTCAATACGCAGCAGAACTTTCTTGCACCCATAACCTTGGCCTCATTAATAAGACCTTGTGAGTGCACTGAGCAAACTAGTCAGAAGCTTAAAGCGTACTCAATGCTTCAGAATGCAATCATATTGCAGAAAGGTGAAGAAGCAAAAGGCTTTCTACTTGCAGATACATCTGAGTGATGGATTATTTGGGGAATCCTTTTGAAGATACCATTAAAAGATCCATTATTTAATTTGTGATATGGATCACAATTCAGCTAAAAAATGTGAAGATAACACTCCTGGATAAAGGGCTTATTACTTAGATGGAACAGGTTTGCATACAGATTAGTTTGGGACTTCTTAGAAGACATTTAAAACTTAAGCTACAACCAGATGATTCCCATTTCATTGCAAACATTAAAACTTCAGTTTTGTTCTTAGATACAAGAATGATGGCAGGATTCCCATGGGGTCCTGCCAGCTCTCTGAAAGAAGGTGGTACATTGGGGATCCTACAAACTGAAGTCAACAGGTATCTGTGCTTCCCTCCAGGAACACCTCTGACATCCTGTAGGATAACCATTACCTAGTGGATCACCACCAAAACTCCAGCATCACAGTATTAAATGATAGGATGTGAGGATTCATATCAACTTGCAATTTGCTGGTGGCATTTGGTGTGAGAAAATGCTTTTGAGCCAAAGCAAACTGACTAAAGGACATTAAAGCTTTTGGACAGTGGCATGAGCACTGGTTCAGGATCCACACTTGGCCTTATAACAGATAGAAAAGAGAACTATTTTAGATTTTCTTTTTCTGTCCTTTTGATCTCTTCCGTTTAGGAGCCTAAGAGGTTCCTAACATAATAAGATAATTACATGAAGAAGCAATTCTGTAAAGGTCACAACTTATATTTTTGAAATGTCAACCTACAATCTTGTTTATGAAGAAAAAGCCATTAAAAACAATGGCAACATTGCTGATCTAAACTTTTAAAAATTAATTTCCAGTTCTTTATATTTATGTTAAAACTAATTTTTCATAAAACATATATTTGTATCATAAAGTTCTACAGATCAAGCCATAAGTGGAATAAATGAATCTCATAAAGTAAACATATACATGCACACACACACTTTCTTTCACAGGCACACACACTTCTGTATTTCCATATGTATACATAGATTTTCTATCTGTCTTCACATTATAATGGCTAATAATTTAGTGATAACAAATTTTCATGCTCAAGACTGACTTCATCTTGGAATAAGAGATTGAAATACCACTGAGTGGATTATTTGAAACATAACTTCTATATTTATGGTATTCAATACTAATGGACCTTTCAAGTCAGCATCACATTCATAGAAGAAGAACTCTTCAGTATAAGCTGCCACCACAGTGTTTTTTTTTTTTTTGGACTTTTTTTAAAATTTATTTATTTCTTTATTAATTAATTAAAGATTTCTGTCTCTTCCCCACCGCCGCCTCCCTTTTCCCTCCCCCAATCAAGTCCTCCTCCCTCGTCAGCCCAAAGAGCAATCAGGGTTCCCTGCCCTGTGGGAAGTCCAAGGACCACCCACCTCCATCCAGGTCTAGTAAGGGGAGCATCCAAACTGCCTAGGCTCCAAGGACACCTAAGGTCATGCTCAACTTCCTTAGCGATCAGGGAAATGCAAATCAAAGCAACTTTGAGATATCATCTTACACCTGTCAGAATGGCTAAAATCAAAAACACCAATGATTGCCTTTGCTGGAGAGGTTGTGGAGAAAGGGGTACACTCATCCATTGCCGGTAGAAAGCACCACAGTGTTTTTGATCTTGAACTCAAGTTTTTTTTAAAGACATTATTCTTGAGAGGACAACAGAGGCACATTACATTATCATATCATTGATATCATTGACATTAGATATCATTGCTGTCAGAGGGAACAGAGTAATTGGGGTGATTGTGAAACTGATGGCAGTTCTTGTTTGGAAACAGATGGAGGAAGTAGGTGGTGTGCTATATGATTTGAGGACTTGATAAGAGCTACTCAGAATCAAGTTCATTTCCCAGTCTAACAGAATTTGGTAAGCAAACCCAAGCTGATTCTCCTTATTTGTGAGAGACACATTTTTGAAATAAACTCTTACATGTAGGTGAGGAACTTCTGATGCTACTACTGAGGTTGAAATCTTTAAAGAGTAGCGTTGAAGAGAAGAGTATACTTTTACAAAGATGCATGCTATGGAGGCCAGTGGTCTTCAGGGAATCTTCCAGATCTTTTCCAAAGGAGAAGTTAAGCCCATGTCTTGGCTTTAATGTGGTTCTGTGCCTTCTATTAGGTTACCTGTTTAAACTAATGGCAAAGCTATTCTTATTGTGGAGCAGGAAGCTCCACGCCTTCTCTAAGCAAAGGTACATGTGACATTCATCTCTAAACCTTATTGAGTACTGTAGTAAATGAATTAAACACACTGTCATACTAACTGTTCTAGAATCCGCTCAGACAATTATTTATTTAGTGACTATGCAAACAACACATAATGTAGAAAATATACAAATGTCATTAGGTTTTAGATCTCTACCCAAACCTATGTCAATAATTTTGTTGTTTTTGTAAATGCCAAGTAAAATGACCAAAGACTAAAGACAGATCAGGTATAGCCCAAAACTAAGAGGACAAAAGTCAGACTAGAAGCCTCAGTTTGGCAGTATGCAACCTGGGTGTGTGCAGTCAAAGCTCTAATAAAGAGTATTCCCAGGACTCTATCTTTCATACTATATGTATGATCAAGTCGAGACTGAAACTATGAGAAAAAGGGTTAAGTCCACTACCAATTCCTCTCATAGTGTAATGTGCCTCTGTTGTCCTCTAAAGAAATATTAAAAAAAAAAAAAAACGAGTTCAAGATCAAAAACACAATGATGACAACTTATACTGAAGAGGATGTGGGATAATGGGAATGCTCCTCCATTGCTGGTGGGGGTGCAAACTGGTACAGAAACTCTGGAAATCAGTATGACGATTTCTCAGAAAGTTAGGAAACAATCGAACTCAAGATCCTGCAATATTGCTGTTGGGTATATACCCAAAAGATGCTCTATCATACCACAAGGACATGTGCTCAACTATGTTCATAGCAGCATTACATTATTTGTAATATCCAGAACCTGGAAACAACCTAGATGCCCCTTAACTGAAGAACGGATAAAGAAAGTGTGGCACATTTACACAATGGAGTATATACAGCAGTAAAAAATAACGACATCTTGAAATTTGCAGGCAAATGGATGGATCTAGAATAAAACATGTTGAGTGAGGTAACCCAGGCCCTGAAAGACAAATACAATATGTATTCACTCATAAGTGGCTTTTAGTCATCAAACAAAGGGAAACCATTCTACAGGCCACAACCCCAGAAAAACTAGATAGCAAAGAGGACCCTAAGAGAGGCATATATGGATCTACATAGGAAGGTGAAAAAGACAAGATATATTGAGTAAATTGGGAGAATGGGGGTGATGTGAGAGGGTAGAAGGAGCAAGGGGAGGAGAAAGGAGAGTGGGAAAAATGTATAGATAAATAAAAACAATGAAAAATACCTCGAGCTCAAACTAGACATGCAATGTGTTGTTTTTACCCTTTTCTTGTCAAAATTTTGTTATTAAATGTCTGTCATTAAATATATTATTTTTCTGTTATTAAATATAATACTGAAAACACAATTTTGAATGGCCATATATTCATTTTATATTATGCAAATATATCATAATTTACAAGAAACTTCTCTTCTGAATAAT